GTGTGTGTGTGTGTGTGTTGTGTGTGTGTGTGCGTGTGTATGTGTGTGTGTGTGTGCGTGTGTGTGTGTGTGTGTGTGTGTGTGTGCGTGCGTGTGTGTGTGTGTGTGTGTGTGTGTGGTGTGTGTGTGTGTGTGTGTGTGTACTCACCTAGTTGTGCTTGCAGGGGTCTAGTCACAGCTCCTGGCCCCCTGTGTGTGTGTGTATGAAGGAATTCAGTCAAATTCGGTCAACAGAAAAAATAACATTTATTGACAACAATTATTCTCATCAATGTACAAACATTTTTCATCAAAATGATATATATATATATATATATATATATATATATATATATATATATATATATATATATAAATATATATATATATATATAATATATATATATATATATATATATATATATATATATATATATAATATATATATATATATGTCGTGCCGAATATGTAAAACTGGTCAATTAGCAAGAACTCAATTAAAATTAAGCCCTTTCTATAATTCTCTCTTATACGTTTAAAGATATATTTTTTTCATTAATGATAATGTAAAAATTTATAATTTTGCACCAAAAGAATCTTAGAAAACTTACCTAACCTTATTATAACAAGAACAATTTATTTTAACCTAACCCAACTAAATATATTTTAGATTTGTTTACAATAATTTAATACTAAACAAACACAATGAAATATATTTTTTTCGTTAGGTTCAGAATGATTTTGGCGAAATTATTGCATACACAAATTTTCACTTGTCCTATATGGCAAGATGAAGGTTGCTATTTAAGCCAAGATCGCAAATTCTGCATATTCGGCACGACATATATATATATATATATATATATATCGTGCCGAATAGGCAGAACTTGCGATCTTGGCTTAAATAGCAACGCTCATCTTGCCATATAGGACAAGTGAAAATTTGTGTATGCAATAATTTCGCCAAAATCATTCTGAACCTAACGAAAAAAATATATTTCATTGTGTTTGTTTAGTATTTAATTATTGTAAACAAATCTAAAATATATTTAGTTGGGTTAGGCTAAAATAAATTGTTCTTGTTATAATAAGGTTAGGTAAGTTTTCTAAGTTCCTTTTGGTGCAAAATTATAAATTTTTGCATCAACATTAATGAAAAAAATATATCTTTAAATGTATAAGAGAAAATTTAGAAATTACTTAATTTTAAATGAGTTCTTGCTAATTGGCCAGTTTTACATATTCGGCACGACACATATATATATATATATATATATATATATATATATATATATATATATATATATATATATATATATATGTCGTGCCGAATATGTAAAACTGGTCAATTAGCAAGAACTCATTTAAAATTAAGTCCTTTCTAAAATTTTCTCTTATACGTTTAAAGATATATTTTTTCATTACTGTTGATGTAAAAATTTATAATTTTGCACCAAAAGGAACTTAGAAAACTTACCTAACCTTATTATAACAAGAACAATTTATTTTAGCCTAACCCAACTAAATATATTTTAGATTTGTTTACAATAATTTAATACTAAACAAACACAGTGAAATATATTTTTTTCGTTAGGTTCAGAATGATTTTGGCGAAATTATTACATACACAAATTTTCACTTGTCCTATATAGCAAGATGAGCGTTGCTATTTAAGCCAAGATCGCAATTTCTGCCTATTCGGCACGACATATATATATATATATATATATATATATATATATATATATATAAACAACCCTTTTAGGTTTTAATAAATATATTTTAAGTATTTTATGAGCAAAGTTGAGCCTCAGGAATACATTCGGTATAAAAGTCTTGCCTCGTCATTAGTAAATGAGAAAAATTCGAGGTTGTTACCTAAGTAAGAAACAACTGTAGATGAGACACATTAGTACAGGACTGAGGAACTTCAGTGCAGGAGTTTTGTAGCGGTGGTACGGGAGTTAGAGACATCAGGAGTGAGAAGTGTCACCAGAAACATCAGAAACGTCAGCACAAGAGTGAGAAACATCGCAGAAGTAAGAAACATCAGGTTTATTTTGATTATTACCAGACACTTGTCGTGTCAACAACTTGAGTGGCCAGTGATTTTGATTTTATTAATGAGGATGCGCTAAACCCACAAGGGTCATACGGCGCCAGGGGAATGGAAGATAATCCAGGTTTGATCCGAGGAAGAGAATTAAGAGCAATTTGGTGTGTTCTCTCACAAATGACAGTAATATTGCATACACACACACACACACACACACACACACACACACACACACACACACACACACATACACACACACACACACACACACACACACACACACACACACACACACACACACACAATATATATATATAATATATATATATATATATATATATATATATATATATATATATATATATATATATATTATATATATATATATAATTTTTATTAACACACTGGCCGATTCCCACCAAGGCAGGGTGGTCCGAAAAAGAAAAACTTTCACCATCATTCACTCCATCACTGTCTTGCCAGAAGGGTGCTTTACACTACAGTTTTTAACTGCAACATTAACACCCCTCCTTCAGAGTGCAGGCACTGTACTTCCCATCTCCAGGACTCAAGTCCGGGCTGCCGGTTTCCCTGAACCCCTTCATAAATGTTACTTTGCTCACACTCCAGCAGCACGTCAAGTATTAAAAACCATTTGTCTCCATTCACTCCTATCAAACATGCTCACGCATGCCCGCTGGAAGTCCAAGCCCCTCGCACACAAAACCTCCTTTACCCCCTCCCTCCAACCTTTCCTAGGCCGACCCCTACCCCGCCTTCCTTCCACTACAGACTGATACACTCTTGAAGTCACTCTATTTCGCTCCATTTCTCTTACATGTCCGAACCACCTCAATAACCCTTCCTCATCCCTCTGGACAACAGTTTTGGTAATCCCGCACCTCCTCCTAACTTCCAAACTACGAATTCTCTGCATTATATTCACACCACACATTGCCCTCAGACAAAAATTTTATATATATATATATATATATATATATATATATATATATATATAATATATATATATATATATATATATTTTATATATATATATATATAATATATATAATATATATATATTGGCGAAATAAATTGAACATTTGAGAAGCGTAATGTTCACAGGGTGTATACTGAGAGGTATATATCACTCAGTGTATACTGTTCACTGAAAGGTATATATATCACTCAGTGTATACTGTTCACTGAAAGGTATATATATATCTCAGTGTATACTGTTCACTGAAAGGTATATATCTCTCAGCGTATATACGTTAAGAGTTTGTTATAATTACTATTTAAGGTATAAAAGTGTTTTTGACTGGTGGTATCCAGGTGACCTGCAGCCTTAATGACGCTAGTGTAGTAGATAGATTTTGAACTCCATTACCTACCAGCTAGCCTTAATGACCCTCTTGTAGTAGATAGACTTTAAACCCCATTTACCAACCAACCAGTTTTCTTGTCGAGAGAAAAGAAAAAAAATCGTAGAACGTCGCATTTAGAACAATGAATTTCTTCTTAGTCTCCTGACTTAGGATTTCCATCTCTTACAGCGGCTAATGACTAGCATATATCAGCCTTGCTTCTTCCTCTTTTCTCTTTTCTTCTCTTTTCCTGGCTTTAACTCTCTTGATGTTGATTCTAACACCATTATTGAGTTTCTAACACCATTAAGATATTTAATCAATATTTAATGGTGATTTGTTACCATTATTGTGGATTCTAACACCATTCATGTGTTCTGATACCGTTAATGTGGATTCTAACACCATTGGTGTATTTTGATATCATTAAAGGGGATTTTAACATCATTAATATAAATTCTAACACCACTGATATGTTCTGATAACATTAAATGTGATTTTAACATCATTAATGTGTTCTAACTCCACTTAATGTAAATTCTAACACACTGATGCCTTTGCAACACCACTGATATGTTTGTAATGCCACTTAAGCAGTTTTAACACCACTGATGTGAGTTCTAACTCCATTACTGTGTGTCTTTCACAGCCGAGAGATAAGTCTTCTAATGCTCTTTGATGTAGCATTGTTTGTCTCTCTAGAGACATCTCCAAATGTGAGATCTGAGAGATTTTCTCAGAGTGAAGAAATAATGAACTCTCTCTCTCCTCACGTCTCTGAGATTTTACTTGTGGTGGTCTTAAAAACTGTCATAACAAGAGACCTCAAGTTCTCGAACCTTCATGACACAAGAGTAGAGAGTTTTGAACCCTCTTAATACGAGAGTTTAGAGTTTTGAACCCTCATAATACGAGAGTTTAGAGTTTGAACCCTCATAATACGAGAGTTTAGAGTTTTGAACCCTCATAATACGAGAGTTTAGAGTTTTGAACCCTCATAATACGAGAGTTTAGAGTTTTGAACCCTCATAATACGAGAGTTTAGAGTTTTGAACCCTCATAATACGAGAGTTTAGAGTTTTGAACCCTCATAAGATGAGTGTAAAGAGTTTTGAACCCTCATAAGATGAGTGTAATGAGTTTTGAACCCTCATAACAAGAGTAAAGTTTTGAACCCTCATGACACGCGTAAGGAGTTTTAAACCCTTATAACACAACAAAAGAGTTTTGAACCCTCATAACATAATCACTGGCAATTACAAACTCTCATAAACCAATAATCAAGAGTTTCGAATCCTTACAAAACTATGACTAGGAAGATCGAAACCTTATAAAACGTGGATACAGTTTGAATCCTCATTAGACGAGGTTTGAATCCCTCATAAGATGAGGAGGTATGAACCTTTTTTAAGACGACGACAAGGAGAGTTGAACCCCTCACAACATCAGGGTAAAAAGGTTTAATATCCTGGAAGATATCTATTAAAGTAAATAATATAACTATAATAATATATATATATATATATATATATATATATATTATAATATATATATATATATATATATATATATATATATTATATATTATTGAGGAATGACGTTGCTATTGGGGAATGACAGCAGTGGCAGGCACTTCACGTGATTGTTGTCACTGTTATCTTCACGTTCTGCCACCTGTCACTCCCACTACCCATCCAGGTATCACTTCTCCCAGTTCTCCAGTCATCACTTCTTCCAGTTCTCCAGTCATTACTTCTCCTTGTTCTCCAGTCATCACTTCTCCCAGTTCTCCAATCACTTCTGATATATTTGCTGTGCTCACTCCTGCCGTTTCTCCAGTTATCACTCCTCCCATCCACCCATTTATCACAACTGTGTCTCCAAGTGTTCACCTAGATCCCCACTCCAGTTGTCAGTCCTCAACCGGTTCCACATGCTCTCCTGCGGAGGAACATTGAGCTTAGCCAGCTCGAAATTCCGCCCTCACAAAGGAGACTCACTGCTAGTCTCCTCCAGCATCTGCAGAAACCTCCTGCAGTTGTAAGAAGGCTGCGCCCCCTTGTGCCCGTTCATGTTCCTACTCTTGAAGATGATGGTGTCGTCTTTAAGGGAGATAGTGACCAGCCGGCTGCTAGCACTTCTTGAGTAGTTGGTGAAGGTGTTGACACGGACCAGCTCCGGTTCCTGAGTGAAGAACCAATGATCCACGCACCTTCGGAGACACGGCATAGCGTAAGCCACCTCGCAGAAGCCAGACCGGAACTTTGTGTTCATCCAGCAGAGGATGACGGGGTTGTAGCAGGTGGATGACATGGCCAGCCAGTGGAAAAAGGCCCACAGGTACATCATGTAGGGCCAGTCATCAATCTCCTCCAGTTCTCTCACTACCTGTGGGAGACACAAGGGTTATCACACAGGTGAAGGTAGACAATAGGAAGCTGATGGTTAAGATACGTGTACAATACCTAATTTACCTTCACGAATATTATGGCAGTCATGATAGCAAGGACAGTATTTGTTAATTGTATTCACGAGGAAGAACTAATCTTATGGGATAGTATCCTCAAGCATTTGTAAATTGTGTGTGTGTATGTGTGTGTGTGTGTGTGTGTGTGTGTGTGTGTGTGTGTGTGTGTGTATGTGTGTGTGTGTGTGTGTGTGTGTGTGTGTGTGTGTGTGTGTGTGTGTGTGTGTGTGTGTAAGTGCTCTACTCAAAGCCCTTCTCTCCTTCATTCTCCAATCCCTAATCCCCCAAATCCTCCAATCCCCTCTTAATCCTCCTCCTCCACTGCCCATCCTCCACCCATCTAATCACTCGTCAATTCGTCTCTCAACCTGCGGGCTGAGAGGACGCTTTCTGAGCCTGCTCCTGCTTACACCTGGTTGCGAACCGTGTACTACAGCACGCAAGATGGCGGATCGTCAGGGTAGAAGGGTGAGAGTAAGACACATGTGCAACATCTGGGTATCTTTATTGTAGACGTTTCGCCATCCAGTGGCTTTATCAATACAAATTCTAGGACATAACTTGAAGACAGTAGAACTATGTACAGAAGATGAGGTAATCAGTCCCTCAACCTAGGAGTAGGTGCGAACAGCACCATAGTCGTGGAGATTCTGAAGCAGAAGAAAGAATCCTGGTGCTTATATAGTAACGTCAGGTGTAGCAGACGAGGGCGTATTCACTGGTAGGCGGGATTCCCCAGTGGAAGTAGGTCCTTCCCAAAGAGATGGGTTAGTTGTAGTAGTAGTTGTCGTAGTCGTGAAGGTTATGTACATGTCCTCAGAATTAAGATTCCATGATGTTGCAGTGTCTGACAAGTTGTGTACGAATGGTATATAATACCGACAAGATGAGAGTAAGACACATGTGCAACATATGGGTATCTTTATTGTAGACGTTTCGCCATCCAGTGGCTTTATCAATACAAATTCTAGGACATAACTTGAAGACAGTAGAACTATGTACAGAAGATGAGGTAATCAGTCCCTCAACCTAGGAGTAGGTGCGAACAGCATCATAGTCGTGGAGATTCTCCTACTCCTAGGTTGAGGGACTGATTACCTCATCTTCTGTACATAGTTCTACTGTCTTCAAGTTATGTCCTAGAATTTGTATTGATAAAGCCACTGGATGGCGAAACGTCTACAATAAAGATACCCAGATGTTGCACATGTGTCTTACTCTCATCTTGTCGGTATTATATACCATTCGTACACAGGGTAGAAGGGTAAACACGGTCTGTGTTGAATTCATTCGTGGCTCTCTCAGTGGTGCAACGATACATGTCTTGTTGCCTACCATTATTCGCGACGTCTACGGCATCTCCACTGAGGAATTATATGGTGTGGCTCTCAATGGGATGTCGAGGTTTTTTGTAAAATTCGCAAATGTTTTTACTCCAAGATTGTGGAAGCTTTTCAAGAGAGGAAAATGGCGGTGAATTCGGCCGTAGAGGTTTGCCTGCATGACGTCTCCATATACGTCACCTGGGTCAAAGTAAGGAACGTGCCTTTCGAGGCGGAGGAGTATGTTATTCGGAAAGTTTTTGGTAGATACGGCACGGTACATGCAGCGACCAAGGGAGTGTGGAGGGAGGGCCCATACGAGGGGCTCCCGGAAGGCTCCTGCACCCTCAAGATGACGTTAAAGCAGCCGATTCCATCTTACGTTCATCTTGAACACTACAGGACCCAAGTTTTTGTTCGCTATGAAGGCCAACGGAAGACATGCAGGTTATGCAACTCGTATGACCATATGGCTGCTCAGTGCTCCAGACGCCAGGTTGTACGCATCCGGGAACCTTCTCCTGTGGTTCTACGAACCGAAGCCTTTGATCTGGAGACTGGTCCCTCGCCTGAACAAGGACCTAAGCTTTGGAGTGAGGAAGTACAACAAGAGGAGACGCGGTCTATGGCGTGTGCCACCCTGTCAGTGGAGACTACAAACGTGCCCACACCACCTGTGGGGCCTACGGAGCCTGTGGAGTTGTCACAGGAAAGTTTGCTGGAGAACGTGCTGAACGATCTCCTGGATGGGGCAGAGCATAGCCCGGACGTTCCACCGGAGTGTCAAGAAGTGGTGAAGGATGATTCACTAAATATGGGAGACCTGGAGGTGACTACAATGACACGGTTGCATGAGGTGGTGGTGGAAATCCACCAGGAGGCTTCGTCTGGCGAGGAGATGTGTGTGGAAGGTGGTTCCCGCAAACGGACGGCAGGAGTGTCGGATATGGAGGAGGTACTGACACCGGGACAGCGTCCAGGGAAGAAATTATGGTCGAAAGTGGCTGAGGCGCCTCTTAAAGACGGGGTTGTGGCAAGCGCCCAGCATATGGGTAGGGCATGGGGGGGTGAGGGGAGCCTTGGGAAGGCAAAGGTCAAAGAAGGTCAGTGTAATGTACGTGTGGGAACGGGAAAGACCCACAAACATAGAGGAAAACCTCCTTTTGTGAATTCAAGTGTGTTACCATCAATGTAAATGGCCTGCAGGCAGAGTTTAAGTGTGTGTGGATGGAGTGGTTCTTGCGCAGGTACGCTGTGGACGTATGTTTCATACAAGAACACAATTATAAGTTTGGGCGAGAGTTACGGTTAAAAGGCTACCGAATGTATGTTAGCAGTTCTTTAAAATTAAAGGGTGGGGTAGCTATAGCGGTGAAGGAGTCCAGCCCTTGGCGTGTCTTGAGATAGGAGGAGGGGGGAGGTGGGAGGGTGGTGAGGGTAGATGAGTACTGGGGTGAGGTGAGGGTTTGTTTTATTGGCGTTTACATGCCTGCGGAAAGCAACACTAAAGTTAAAATAGAATTTGTGAGGGAGGCTTTAACGTTTTACACTCGGGGTTTGCCGTTCATTACCGTCATGGGTGGGGATTGGAATTGCGTTATCCGCCATGGCGATGTTGAGCCGAGGGGGGCGGGGTGCGTTTTTTTTATCATTTATGGTGCACATAGTCAGTTGATGTTCAATTAAGCACCTTTACTAATATCACTGTATACAAGTAAGGTATATTTTTTGTGGGTTTATAATTAGTTTAAGAAACTAAATATGGGGTTGGTCGGGGTATTAGGTGTCTTAGTGTTTCCTCATATGTAATCATACATGTTAGATCTGTAAAAGTCTTATGCTAATTATTAAAGGCTTTTTGTATATTTTGATTCCTTTTTCAATATATGCAAAACCAAAAATAAGGAACACCAGGTTTCAATTTCAAGAGTCAAGTAGGTTTCTGATAGTTATTTTATATAACCATAGTACCATTGAGTGTACAATGTATTAGTTTGTGACATTGTTTTTATATATAAAATTTCATATACAATATGAATAAGACTGTCAGGTTTCGGTTATATAGTTATTTTGTGGTTAAGATATGTTCCGGTAGTTCTCTGTTTAGTTATATGTTGTCTTCTTATATTAAGTTTTCGTGTTTTTTGTTTTAAATCATTTATGTATACCATCCATGTATACTGTGTTTTTTAAATAAAATATATAAAAAAAAATCACTCGTCACGACACATTCAAATGAACAGAAATGAAATTAACATCCACGAACCTTTGTTGCTAAACGAGGCAGTTTAAGTGTTTACATCCATCATTAGAGAAGAACAAATAATTCCAGTCATTGTATTATACAGGAGTCATTAGAGAATCTTGTCTTAAACGAATGTACTGTATTATCTTGCTTGCACTGTATAAAAAGACTTATCTTGTTTGAAATAATATATACATGTATATATATATATATATATATATATATATATATATATAATATATATATATATATATATATATATATATGTATATATATATAATCATTACCAGGATTGTAACCCAAGGCAACACTGCCAGGGTTGTAACTTAGACAACATTGACAGGGTTGCAACCTCAGGCAATAATGCCAAGGTTGCAGATTCAGGCAACGCTTGCAGGATCTCAACAGGCACTTTTCCACGCAGTTAAAATCTTACTCGAGATAAAACATTGGAGCTGTAAGAAGAAAAGTGTCACCTGACATCTTCAATATTGCCTAAGGGATGGGTGAGTGTGTGTGTGTGTGTGTGTGTGTGTGTGTGAGAGAGAGAGAGAGAGAGAGAGAGAGAGAGAGAGAGAGAGAGAGAGAGAGAGAGAGAGAGAGAGAGAGAGAGAGAGAAAGCTGGCAGCTGTAACTTTCACAAGCATGCTATGAAAATTGAGAAAATCTAGAAGTTTGCAATAAAACTAGTCCGACATTCTACAACAGCCCGAGGAGACATAACAACAACGTACATGATACTTAGACTTGATAAGGCAGACACAGAGATGAGGAACATCGTGGTACATTGGGAAATTGAAGACACAGATGAACTGCAGAGGCATCAGGAAATATTCCACTACCTAGAGCGTCAGGACTTGGAATAACAAACTAGGAAGCTGTACAGGCAGAACCCATACACAGTTTTACGAGCAGTTACGAAATGGCCGAAGAGATGGAAGTAGTGAATGAGACTTGAAGTGGCAATTTGAACAATGAATATACACTGCACTGTCTATACATATACTGTCTATTCACTGTATATACATGGCATATACACTGGATATACAGACAATCGTATACAAGTATATTTTTTTATATTTTTTGGTACAATTTCAAATAAAGATTGAATATAAAAAGAATATATATTATATTTAAATTTATTCATCAATGTTGTCACTCGCCTGGTTATTCAAACATTGTATTGAATGAGAGAGAGAGAGAGAGAGAGAGAGAGAGAGAGAGAGAGAGAGAGAGAGAGAGAGAGAGAGAGAGAGAGAGAGAGAGAGAGAGAGAGAGAGAGAGAGAGAGAGAGAGAGATCGCTCCTCTGTTTTTGATAGGCTGTAGATTATTAACCTCTATCAAAAACAAGGGAGCGAGATCTCTCTC